AGATTGTGGCTTTCCGAAGGAGCAGCATATCGCAGAATCTATAGAGAAGAATGCCTCATCTTTATCGAGCACTAACCTTGCTAGAACGTCCATATACTTAGCTTCGCTGAGCCCACAACAGCCCGGAGCATGGCACAACATGTGTTTTTGATTCCATGCCTCGCTCCAAAGTACGAGAATCCTTCAAGGCTGCGAACTCAGCTGATGCAGGCATTGCACCACCGTATGACCGGAAGTTGTGCATTTTGATCGCTCAACTGTTGACTTCTGTGCATTCCTGCTAGATTTTGAGCTCGGAACCTTGGCGCTCTTTAGGCGAGCAGTCTGCATCCGACGACACAAAGTATTTCTTTAGGATCTATATAGATATATATACACATAAGGAGAACTTTCCCAATCCTGCAATACATTGTTCTGCTATCAATGTGGTTGTTCTGCTGTGCATTTTGGTACACATCTCTTGCCTCTCACTTTCCTCGACCCATGGCTAGCGAATCTCGCCAAGTGGATCTCACCGGCCTGGCCCAGAAATGGGACGAATCTCCCGAGATCAGGCAAAGGCTTCGTGCTGGTGGCTCGCTTTTGCACCCCTCCTCGAAGGATAAAATCTTGATTCGCACAGCTGCTTTGAACGGACCTGTGTTACAACCTGTTTGTGAGATGATGGCTCGGATGCAAGCTGCGATGGATGATGCTAAGATCCCGCCTTCTCCGGCGGTAGAGGCCTTGCGAGAAGAGGTGCAGGCACTCATGGTCATGGCCAAGCAGGATGTGACTTTCCAGGATGTTGACAAAGCAGCTTGGTCGGTTCGGAAGTACATAGCTTTCTTGAAGCTGAAGATCCGGAAGAAAGAAGTGTCCACGGAAGCTTTCCAGTAATTTCAGGATGTAGTTTTTGACATGTGTGTCCTGTGATTTCTGTTCGGCAGAAGCTTTTGTCTTGTGTGTAAGGTAATGTCCAAGCTCAAGAGAGCCTTTCAGGATCCTGTATTTCAGCAGCTCCTACTCATCTTGGATCCCCACCTGCAAGAACCTTGATCTGATTTACACAAGTCTGAGTTGGCTTCTCTTACATAGCTTGCAATCTTTTCTCGGTTCTGTGTGCCTCAGGAACTAGTGGATTACGTGAACTCGAGAAGATCCACGAGTTCTCTGGACTCTGATGTTCCTCAGCTTATAATTCGGACTGGTGCGCAAATTCTGTGCTACTGTGAAAATCCTTTGGAGTCAGCGTTTCTGAGGCGGGGGTTGATGATGAGGATGAAGATGAGGTAGATGAGATGCCAGCTCTTTCAAACGGAGACGAAGGCAACCCTGCAGACCCAAGCCCGCCAAGCTCTGCAGCAGGACCCCCAACAACTCCTGCCATCGCACCTGCCTCAGAAGCCCTTGCAACCTCGGCAGAAGCACCAGCATTGCCAAGACCCCCAGCAACTCCTCCGAGCGCACCTGCTTCAGAGGCCAATGCAGCCATCGCAGCGCCAGAGTTGCCAGGACTTCCAGCCGCTCCTGCAAGTGCCAGCTCAGGTGTCACGGAGGTCATCTGGATTCCGGATGAAGTGGTTAAGACTGAACCACAAGAGGAGCCTGTTGCTAGTGTGCCGTCTACAAGTGCTGTGCCCACAGGCCTGCCTGCACCCGTGCCAACACCGGTGCGTGCATCGGTGCCCGTGTGTGAACCTTTGCCTACACCTGTGCCTGCACCTGTGCCTGCACCGGTGCCTGCAGCTGTACCCACGCCTAGCCCACTCGCAATCGACCCGGTGACCCCGCCAACAAAGCAGAAGCAGCATGTGTGGATTGACAGCAGGGCCAGCTCCTAGCCAAGATTATGTAGCTCGTTGAGTGGCCAATTGACATGTCTTTATGTTGCAACATTAGTCCAATAACACCGCAATTGAGGCAGCTCTGACGGTATCAGTCGCAAGTTGCTCGAGGCCAAGGAAAGGCTACGACAGTCCTAGCCTCAATTCTTTGAGTTAGTGTGTCTGTGTGAGAGAGAGAGAGNNGAGAGAGAGAGAGAGAACGAGATAGACAGAGAGCGAGCGAGAGAGAGAGAGAGAGAGAGAACTCAGAAATAGAGAGAGAGAGAGAGAGAGATAGAGAGAAAGAAAGAGGGGGGGGGAAAGAGAGAGAGAGAGAGAGATAGAGAGAGAGAGAGAGAGATAGCGAGAGGGAGGAGGGAGAGTGGCGGGTGTATTTGTGCATGCACGTGTGCTTGTGGGAATTGAGCACGCTGTGTGTGCGATCACCATGGTAGTGAGGTTGCGAGAAAGGAAAGCCAGGCAAACAGCTGATGATAGCCCAGCTCCTCCATCGAGCAGCCCCGCCCACTCAGGTGGGATAACAGAAAACTATAAGGAAATCACAGGAAATGATGTTTGTGCATGTGTGTACAGATATATATATACACACATGTGTTGTGCAGGCTCTCCTGGAGAAGAGCGCCCAAGTTTCAGCACTCCATCGGAACGTGCCAGCTTTGCAACGGATGAGACACAGCCAATCAACATCATGGGAGTTCCCGACCCGGCCGAGCCAGTGCTGGGAGATCTTGAAGGCGAGTCCATGACTGCTGAGGAAAGGCGACGTGCTTACCAGTGTGTCCCGGGAACTCCTACCCGAGACATGAGCGGAAACGCGACGCCTGAACATGGCACTCCCAGCGCCGAGGTGTGTGTGCTACATTTCTTTCTGTGGTTACAACGATGAATATACCGATCTATATATACATGATGCATTGCATATATATACTTTTTCATACACTTGGAACGGTTTGTGTGATGAAGCTTCGAAGGTCTTGGGCACCAGTCCACCAACAACACGAGAGGAACAGCTGGCTCTGAAGGGCAAGAAGCGGAGGAACAAGAAAGGGAAGAAGGGCAAGACTGCCAAAAAAAAGGCTGCTAAGGTGGGCAACAAGAAACCTTCGTCGCCGAGCCGGCGGCGAAGGAGGCTGCTGAGCAAATCCAAGTCGTCGCAATCTTTGTCTGCAGATGCTGCGAAGCCAGTTGTAGATGCTTTGGTGGTCGAAGCAGCGCATGAAGCAAGCCCGAAGACAACTCGCAAGAGCAACACGCCCAAGGCCAGCATCAAGGACGCATCGGCAGCGGACCCTGCGAGCAAAGGGAAGACACCCAAGCCAAAAGCAGCAGCAAAGACAGCAGCAGCAAAGAAAACAGCAACAGCAAAAGCAAAGGTCAAAGCAGTCGGAAGACCGAAAGCAACAGCAAAGGCCAAAGCAATCGGAACACCGAAAGCAACAGCAAAGGCCAAAGCAATCGGAACACCAAAAGCAAAAGCAAAGGCCAAAGCAAAGGCCAAGGGTCGGGCAGCGGACAAGAAGCGGGATCGGTCCTCGTTCGGAGCGCTTGATGTTGTCATGCCACGCGACCTTGCGGGCTGGTCGGATCTGAACAGTCAGCTACTCTTGTCTGCCTTCGCTAGGGAGTGGTATGATCACAAGGATGATTGTATGGCAAGTTTCAAGCTACTTATGCGTGAGAACTTGCCGAGTGTGCAGAGCCATGAAGTGGCTTCCTTGAACATCTACTGGACGCGGTTTTCCTGTGGAGTTACCATCAAGTCGACGAGGAAGGATTTGGGGTCCTATCATCTGCCCCACAAGAAGGCAGCGCCAAACCTTCGATTGGCCGTGACTATCAGGTGTGCTCTGCTGATCGCTACATGTCTGTATGTAAAGACTCTAAACAGTCCGTTTGCATCCTTGCTGTTTTGACTATGTCCCAAAATCATGAATTCTTATCCTAGGTTCAGTTCTTGGACATGATGATGAACGAGAAATGCCCACACACTGGGCGGACCTACCGGGAGCTGGGGGTAGACAAGCTCCTTGCCCTCCCGCTGATCACAGAGGTCTTCGACAGCTTGAGAGAGGATGGAGCAGCTGTTGTCGAGGACATCGCTTCTTGGCAGGAGGCTGAGGAAATCAGGGCCTGAGAGCGCTTGACGATGTTCCGTTGATTTCTGAAAGGCCCAAGGATTTCGGGCTGGTCATTTTGTGTGGCTCGACGAACTCAATTTCAAGTTTTGGCGATGCTGCAATGTACAAAGATTGTAGCTGCGTATAGTCAGGTGCCGTTGTGACGGGGGTCTGGGCTTGAACCCCAAAGGTTCGCATGAACCCGGACGGGGACACAATGTGCTCCCTGGCGAGGCTTGCTATGTCGATGTACTTAGTGTGGCTGCCAAACGGTGGCTTGTCCTGCTGCGGTTGTTACTAATATATTGTTGTACTGCATGCTTGAAAATCCTACTCCAGATCTTTGTTCCACAATGCGGCAGGGCGATGTGCCACGCAAACGTTCTTTTACGAGAAACTTCTTTTAGACAAGGAAGCCAGGTTGCCGAGAGTGAGTGTGTGTATGTACCTGGGCAACCCCCTTCTATTATTAAGCCCTGCATGTGTTTAGTTATATCGTATATATATATATATATNNTAATTCAAAATAACACAATCCCGTATATATGTACGCACATGCACGTGTGCACGCAACACATGGAAAACTCGGCAGGCCTGGGTAGACTCTTGGTCTTGGATCGGCAACAGAGTTTGCCTCAGGGGTGCCGGCACACAGAGGCTTGAAAACGAGTGCCCCGATCGATCTCCATTACTTGAAAGTTGCAGCTCAGCCTTGCTCATTGCACATGGATCTGAAGCGATTCATCTGCACACTGTCAATGCGAAAGCTAGCATGTGTTTGGTTTGCCGCACTCTTGCTTTGCCCAGGTCACCACAGCGAAGCCTGCGGTCTGCCGGAGGGCCTGGTCCCATGGTGCTAGCAAGACAGTGCACAAGACGCTCAAGAACAGTCTCCTTTGCCACGCTTACATGCTATCGATCTGCACTCGCTAAGTGTTGCTTTATGTCAGCTCAACAGTGCAACATGGGCGGTTGCAGCACTCCGTCGTCAGATTCCAGCCTGCTCCTCGCAAAAGTGCGGCCCAAGCCAGCAGGAAGGCCACCTGCCGCCCAGTGTGATTGCTAGGATGGTGTGTTTAGATTCTCTGCTGTGGCAACTCAAGCAGCTCCAGGTTCC